ATAAGTTATAATTTTTTATTATATTATAATAATTTAATAGTTTATTATTTAATTATTATTTAATTTACTAATTTCTTATTACTTTTTGCAGTTATAAAATGAAAGGTGTGTTGTTGCGTTTAGATGATAATCATACCTCGAGTCATTTTGTTGATACGATAACAATTTTAAATTGTGTTATTTTAATTATTGTAATTTATTTATTTATTTTGTAGTAGTAGTTTATATTTTAATTTGTATATTATTTATTTAATTAGGGGAACGATCTTATATTAGATATATATTTATTCGCAATGCTAAGTTAGAGATATCGAGTTGTGTCTGGCCGTATTTAGCTGAGGCTGGATTCGGTTACATAGCGAAATATGAAGAGCACTGTAACATTGAATCCAACTTTATTTCTACATTGATTGAGAGGTGGAGACTAGACACACACACACATTCCATCTTCCGTGTGGGGAGTGCACTATTACGTTGGAGGATGTTTCCATACTTTTGGGGCTTTCGCCAGATGGGGATGTTATTTTTGGTGTGGCGGATGGTAATTTGCATTCCTTGTGCGAGAAGTATCTTGGAGGTATTCCGTCTAATTTTAACGGTGGTCGAATATCATTATCATGGTTGGCTACAAATTTTTAACATTTAAGTGAAGACTATTCCAATGAACAGGCTAAAATATTTGCCAGGCTTGCATATTACAACTCATAGAAGGGATCTTGATGCCAATAAATATCGCAACCAAGTTTATTGTATGTGGTTACGTCGCCTCGAAGATTTTCACATTGTCGACAGACTCAGTTGGGGCTCTACAGTTTTGGCATCTCTATATAGAGAAATGTGACGGGTAATTGATTATCGAAAAATGCTATCGGTAGATGTCTCATTCTCCAATCATGGGTGTGGTATTGCATGCCCTTTTTATAACCGGTCGTGAATAACACTTCATTCTTCCCGTTATTGTTGAGGTAATTTCAATACTGAAGTTTGTATATAAATAATATTTTTGAGTATATAATGAAATAATTTTTTTACATTGAATAGGTGGTCATGTATAAGGAAAGATCATCGTGATATACCAGATGAATTAGAAGAAATTCGGATACTCATTGATCAGAAGGCTAGTATAGAAGTATGTATTTAAATTTTATTATTTACCTTTAATTATCATTTTATAATTAGAATATTATTTTGATAGAATTATATATATTTGTTTTAGTTTGAATGAACTCCTTATTCTACTCAAGAAATGAGGCTTTGCATCCCACCTCACTTGAGTGGCTCATTAGATGTATGGATGGTGGTGGTCCCTCTGATATGTTATGCTATTGTGGAGTGACATCCTATTAATCGCGTGCTTGACCAATTTGGTTTCGTACAACACATTCCTGAAGCACCTGAGAATCTCAACAATATACATAATGTCGATAGACGGGGAAAAAAAGATATCAACTGGCTACTGAAGCATAAAGAATGTATAATGATCCAGGACGATCGGCGTGGATGCATTCCCACTAGGGAGTCGATTTATGTGAATAATTATTTGGTTGTGGGTGACTATTATAAGCGGTTCAACACGAACGAGAAGTCATTCCTACTTTTTGAGTAAGCGCGAGGCAGGAGCATTCATTGGCATCAATAAAAGTGTCCATCGTCACAACATCATCATCCTCTGAATCGAATCGTGAATGGAGAGCAGGCACTTCTGGATCATCCTCAATTGTAGTATCGAAACCATCACAGTAGCCACCGTCTACACTGGTTTATATTTCCAGCCCGCCACTATACATGGGTACATTACCGGTTCTGATGGCATCGTAGCCGTTTCAGATGGCACCACAACCATTTCAGATGCCATCACAGTCGGTTCAGACGCCACCACAACCAATTTAGATGCCACCACCGTAGGGTTTTATGACACCTCCTGGCGGATATTATACAGACACATCCGGCTCAATATGGATCGTAATCATCGATGTCGATATTTTCGTAGTTTTTACAGTTTTTTATGAGCGGTATGATGAGTGACACCTCCAAGGTCCTTATTCTATGGAGGTGCTACATCATCATTCGTCTCTCATCAACAAAATATAACTAATAATGTTGCTGCTGATGAAGATAATGATGAGAGTGAGGAGGAAGAACAAGTTATACGAAGAAACCCTCATCGAAATAGACAATCGTCGCCCTATGGAACACATTCAAGACACAAACATCGATAGACTTGTTTAGTTTGTAATGTTTTTATCTAGTTGTTTATCAGCAAATGTAATGAATTATGAACTTCTTATTTATTTTGTTTCCTAATGTTATTATTAATTTAGTTGTTTGAATTGTAATGTTTGTATTTAATTGTTTTAATTGTTTTTACTATTTAGTTTGTAATGTTTTTATTTAATTTTCACTTTAGTGGCTCATTACTTGTTGATGCTCAAATGATATTGATTGAAAGTAAAAGAAAATGAAATAACACAAACTGAGATTTTAGAAACTATAATTACATTGTGATGCTCAACGGTTACCTGATGATAAAAGAGATGTGCATTTTTTTCCTATTGTGGCCTAGGTTTCTATAATGGCCACATCTTTTGTTTTTTTTGGACGTCTCTCGAATATCCATATCATAATGAATTTGAGTGGATTTTGGACGACCTGTCTCCCTCAATAAGGACAGATCTGGTACAATCGGAAGCCAATTCTGAATCTCATCTGGGTCTTTCTCATTACTTATCGGGGGAACTCAAATTCATAAACCTTCAATACGGTTGTAAGTCGGTATACGATATCCACAAAATGGTTATAGTCTTGGTGTGGTTTGAGTGTTGTATGAGAGGGTATTTATAGGAGGGAGGGGAGGGGGACGGGCGGTTGGACGATATTGATCAATGCCTTCTACCACGTGTTAAATTCCCCGTGAAGGCGTGGATTACAATCCACGCTTTTCCACCGTGACGCCATCTCGGACAGAACTCTAGGAAGATGCGCTTCAAGATCCGCGTCTTCTGTCCACGTCTGCAAGGTGCGGATCCTGAAACACACTTTATTATCACTTTGTTAAAAATGGTAATAGATCGATAATATTTGGAGAAAGGGTGTCTGACAGATAATTATTGATTGTTTGGGTGATTTTGGATAAAAAACACCAGTATTTTTCATCCATCTTTGCTTAGATAACTCACTTCCTAATTAGGGAGGTTCCGAAACTCTCTCATCCAAATAAGAAGAATAAAATCTCAAGATGAGGTGTCCCAATATAATTGTCATTTAAAACCAGATAAAACTAAGCTGTGACGGGAGAATTTAGAGTAACTTATTTTTTTTATGGATTAATGTTTTAAGTATAACTGTTTATAATTGTGTACATCGTTATTTAATTATATATTAATAATCTATCATATTTTGTTTATAAATAATATATAAAAAATTGTATTATTATTATTCTTTTATTAACCTAAAGTGATTAAAAAGTAGTATATGTTCTAAATTCTCTCAATTATTTGACAGTAAATGCTAGGGATGGCAAACGGGTACAATTTTATGGATTCCGCATCGCACCCGCTCCAATTGGGGCGGAGATGGGTATAATTTTAGCGGGTAGTAGGCGGGTGTGGATTTAGAAAGTGATACCTGTCACGGGTAGTGGGCGGGTAATGGGTTTGAGACATTATCCGGCCCGCATCCGCCTGCCCCACATCCGCCTGCCCAGCTAAATATCTGCCCGCCCGCCCACTTTCTATTATATATGTAGATAGTAGTGAATTTAAATTGGAGCGCTCTCAATTGGAGGAAATAGAGAATGATGATCGTAATACTGGAGTATCAGATGTCACAAATATTGCCTGAAATTTTAGAATGTTGTGCCAAAGAACAAAAACATTATGCGTTTGTCATTTTTGTTTATAAACTTTAATTATGTATTTTATTATGGTGTTTTATGTACTTTAAGATCTATATTAACATTTAACTCAAATAATCCTTGGATTATTTTATTATGTTTCTTAATGGACATGTTTTTTTTATGTTTGTTGCTTATATATAACTTAAGTTTGCTTTCAGGCGGGTCTAGACGGGTACGTCACTAATGGGTAGTGGGTGTGGGGATAGATTTGAGAATGTACCCACGTGGGCGAGTGTAGATTTGAAAATTTGTACCCATCATGAGTGGTGGATTGAAAAATATTAGGTGGGTATGAGGATGGGGATGGGGATGGGAGAGGGGGTATCCACATCCGACCCGCCCGTTTACCATCCCTAGTAAATGCTTAATCACTCTATTATAGTCGTTAATGCTTGAAACAATGACTCTAAGAATAATAACAACTTTAACCACTTAACTAAATTAGTTAGTACCATTCAATTATAAAAGTTTTCTTTCACCAAAGGAATAGTGAAAGAGATGACCCAAGAGTAATATCAACTTTAAATTTTATATAATATTGTTTGTTGTTTCACCTTTAATTCAATCGGAAGCATTATTGTAGCGGAGGGCATCGGTCGGCTTTCGGTTAATTTGATCTGACTTAAAAATTTTACACCTTTCACTCGATTCAAAAAATATATATCTTCCACCCAACTTGAATCCGACCCGAAATAATAAAAAAATATTATTTTTATTTAATAAAAATAGTAATTTAATTGAAAAAACAATATGTAAGTATATTATTGTGATTATTCTTAAATATAAAATGTAAAATTATATTTTTTCAAGTTGAGTTGGGTCATATATTTTTTACCCTAAACCTGACCCGAATATTAAATTTAAAAAAACCCGACCGACACAATGCGAACCCAATTTAAAAAAATCAACCCGATTAATTTAGATTCAAATCTCATACTCATCCTTAATCTTAAGTTAACCATATAATTTACATGATAAAATATAATTAAATATACAGTATGGCGTGGATTCGCAATGCCAATGATGTAAATACCATAAAGTAGGAAAAGATAGAAAATATAAGTGAAAGAAACGAAGGGCTTAGATTCACTCCTGGGTTTCTGGCTCTTCTTTTTTATCTGCCCCCATCTGGTCATCTCCACGTCTTCACTTGTCTGTCCTCTCTATCACACAGTTGTTCTCTCAAAGCTTTTCCATTTCGAGGAGTAAAGAAAATAACGAAACAAAGAACATGATGTCAGGGAAGAGACCCAGGCCGAGGCTACCAATGAAGAGAACAACAAGCTTGTCAGAGATCACTTTTGATCTAAACACTACCGGCGTTGAAGCTCCGCCGTCTGATCCACACAATAACCCTTTAAAAAACCACCCGAAACAGGACGCTGGCCTTCCCGGTGGCGTTTGGGGTCCACAGATACAGGCTAATGGTGGTGGAAGTGGCGGTGATGGGGGAGGGTTAGATCAGCGGTTGTTGGCGACGGTGTTACCTAGAGTTCATAGAAGACATTCAGCTGATTTCATGGAAACCCCTCATTTCTTAAGGTCTTGCGGCCTTTGCAGACGTCGCCTTGTTCCCGGACGTGATATTTACATGTACATGTAATTTTTCTTCCCTTAAACTACGTCCTGCTTCTTCATCGCTCCCTTTTCATTTGCCACGGCATGTTTTGATTAAAAGTATATAATTTTGTGTATTGAATATTAACAGACAAAAAAAAGTAAGAACAAAGTTCGAATCTTAAATCTCAACTTCTTATATGAATTTATTGACCAAGTCCCAAATCTAGATTACTGATGCCAGAAACTTTCAATTGCCTGGTTTTTGTGGAATAAATAAATACTTTTATTAATTATTTTAATTCAGCACTGTTTTCTGGGGGCTTACTTGTTTGTTTGTTTCTTTTTCAAAGGAAAAAGTGCGCTTTTTGTTTGCAGTTCTGATCTGATTTTTCATTTTGCTAGTGAAGAAGGAATTTCAAGTTGCTTACAAGGACTCTTCTTCAGTTCTCTTGTTTATTTGTTATTGCATGCCTGTTAATATTCTCAACATCTCTTTAACAATCTCGGGAGTTCGTCGTCGTCTTCTCTTTTTTTTTTTAATAATTTAGTAGAAGATGCGAATATTTTAATAATTGGATTGAATCCCTTAATTCATTCTTATTAACTACAAAAATCAGGCTTAATTTTAGACATTTATTTGATCGGAAAATCCAAGCTAAATCACTGTTGTTTAATTGCAGGGGTGATAGTGCATTCTGTAGCCTAGAGTGCAGGCAACAGCGGATGAACCAAGACGAGAAGATAGAGAAATGTGCCGCCGCTTCATCTGTTGCAAGATCCAGTGTCTCCGCCAAAGGTGAGACGGTTGCCGCCGTTTAGCTATATTAATCACTGCCGCCCAATTTCCGTGCTACTAAAAGGAATCTATCTTAGCTTTGTAACGCTAATGGTACAAGTTTTGGACATACCAAAAAAAATGAAATATCTACTTCGGTTTTCCCTATAATATCCCCTCATCTTTTGCTAGTAAAGATTTGCAGATTCATTTGGTTCTCTCTATTGGTTTGAGAGGGTTGATGAAGAACCTGATTTTTAAAAAATGCTATAGAATGAAATGAAGATAACTTTAATACATTCGGTTATAAAGCAATAAATTCGGACGATATATTAGATGAAAGAAAATAAAATTTCAAAAATATATTGGGAATAATTGACTCTACTCTCTCATTCATCCATGATAACAGGAGGTGGTCTGGGAAGCTAAAACACCAATGACCACTTGTACACCCAATTGACTAAATAATTAAAAATCACAAATTGCAAGGTTTACGGTCATTGTCGGTCCATCTATCAATCACTGGCATGTTGTTTTCTCCCATTGATTGCCCTTTGTTGTTTTCGACTCCCCCTACTTGTAATTTTTGGACGTTACCAACTCTCCTCTAATGACCCTTCTCGTTTAAGAGAATTTTCATCCAATCCCAACTTTCACAACCAATTTTGTACTCATTTCATAATTTTATATATGAATATGGCGCTTTGCATTTAACAACTGCATTACATCCACCTATTTAATTAAACACACAATTAATTTTTAAAAGGTTAACGATAATGAACTAAATTGATAACTAATATAAGAGTCGAATTGAAAAAAATAAAAAGGGGCTAATGAGAATCATGATCTTTAATTTTACCCCAAGAAAAGTACGCGTTTCTACTTGAGTACACCAATCTTGTTCTCCGGGAAGTTGAAAACAATTATAGAGAATTTCACAATTTGTTAACTCAATAATTAGTTCTAAAACTATTATTTTTAAATTTTATAGTTTTAATAATTGAATTAATGATTTTTCTTCTTTAATCCTTTCAATAAAGCAAAGCTAATTGAGCTAAATTATACGAAAAATAGCAGAAGACGTTGAATTCAAGCACTCTTTGGTCAATTAAAAGGAGAAAGATTAACATCTCAGTGTTTTTCAATTCAAATATCAGCTTAAACAATTTTAACAATATTTATTAGCAGAAGATTGGTGGCATATGTTGATACAAATTCACTTGTAAACAAGGAACTCAACCATGTCGTAAGTGCAAATTCCAGTAACACCCACCACGAACGCGATGACAACGAGAGACAAGCAGAAGTCAAATGGTTTCAGACCGGGAGCACTGCCGGGCATTGGTTCCACGGTATCCAATGCTTCACCCAACACGGAACTTGACTTTGGTAACTGAACAACCGACGCCGAAGACGAAAAGTGTGGTGGAGGTAGAGTCGCCTCGAAGTTAACCTTTTGGCCGGCGAGACAACGGCCCTGGAGACTGCAAATGAAGTAATAGTGGCCTGGCTTTGTTAGGTTGATGGTGTCGGAACCCGATGAGTAGAACGCAATCGGAGATGTTGCATTGCATGAGTTGTAATTCTGGTGAGTCACACGGACCACATCACTGCAATTTTTGTTGTACTTGAAAACTGAAGTGAAAAAACAGAAATCAACTTGGTTTATGATAATACGTAATACTGTAGAAAAACAGTAGATTTAAAGGACGAGTTTAGGTGAGAAATCCTTCACGTACTAACAACATCGCCAACATGGAAGTTCCTGGTTGCTGTCCAGAGTTTGTAATCGAGTGGCAAGCCTACGGCGATTGTGGTCCAACCGAGGAAGCCGCCCACCCAATGAATGGTTCCCATGGAGATGCCCCAAATGGACATTGTAAAGATGAAAAGCACCGCACTCTTGGCAAACGCCATGCCTCCAGTGTTAGACGGCTTGAACAATCAAATAAGTTGATGTTGGAGTGAAATGTGTGAATTAATACAACCTTATTATATAAGCCCATAATGTTAATTTTTTTTATAAATCAATACTATTCTCTGTTAAATGATTCAGTCTTTTCTATTTATTTTAAAGAAAATCTCAAATGGAACTCTCCAATGAATTAAAACACGATGTGTGGCTTTTAATTTAATGTTTGATTTGGTCTCTAAAATATATCATTTTTTCATTTTCATTTTTAAAATTTATTATTTATTGTTTAAACTTTTGAATAATTGTATTTTGGATATCTATTTATGTCATTACTAAAGTGTATTTGGTTTAAGTTGTGTTTTGGTATCAATTTGTGTTATTTGTTTTTTATGTAGAATTTGTGTTATTTGTTAAATGAAATTAAGTTGTGTTTTGGTATTAATTTGTGCCATTTGTTGAATGAAATTAAGTAGTGTTTGGTATTAATTAAGTGCCGGTTAAACTATGCAAATGATTATTTATGTTTGAATATTTTTTTTATAAAAGTTGTTAGTTTTATTAAGAAAAGAAAATATATAAAATTAGAATGAAAGTTTGCAATCACAAACATAAAATAAATACATGGTACTTTTTTATAATCATTAACACAAAAACTAGCCACTTAATATCGCACAAGAATCATACAATGAAAATGTTAAAAATTTAACTAGAAAAACTCAAACAACAAATAGATACGAACAAGTCTGACACATTAGCAAACGAACCACAAAAGGGTATCAAGCTACTGAAAGACCTCAAACAAACCGCAAATCAAAGCCGAGTGACGTGAAATAACTATTCACAAACGCAAATCGCGTATGCAACTCCAATATGAGAGTTCAAAGCTAGGAAAATCAACATGATAACGAATAAGTGTTATCTTGATCAGTCGTGACGATATCAAATTAAACCCTAAGAAAAAAAAACTAAAATAATAGTCAAATGACCGAAAATATGTCATAAATACAAAGCTATTAAAAAACAAAGATGTAAGATAAGAAAAAAAAATACATGCGACGACAAATAATACAAAAACTGATGTCGTCGCCTATCAATTAGTAATGAAGAAAAAGAAAAACAAATTTAGAGTTTGAATATTTCATTTATTTTAGTCATTAATAGTTTTAAAAAATATTATAATAAGGGTGATTCTAAATATACTAAACTATTTACTAAACATACCAACTTTTTGATTTTTTTTAATAAAGATGTAGGGTATATAGGCGGCAAAGAAATAAAAAATGGACAAATGGATTATGTTAACTTGCGTCGGGTTGGGGGAGCTTTGTTAACGTGTGCCGCACTGCTGGAATGAGATTAATTATTTTTGCATGAAACACCATTCCAGTCGTTGGAAATTACGGTTATTCGATCAAAAGTCTCATATCTACTACAAATTTGTTCGATTAAAAATGTTTGTGATAAATGAAAAATCAAAGAAAAATAAAATTAATATGTAACAAAAAATTAAATTAAATTAAAATTGAAATTGAAATAATTTAAACAAATCGAAAAATAAAATGGGTTTACTCCCATAAAGCACTTTGTTTAACGTCGTTAGGCAACCCATTCATTTTCCGATTTGTTTAAATTATTTCAATTTCAATTTAATTTTATTTTTTGTTACATATTAATTTTATTTTTCTTTGAATTTTCAATTATCACAAATATTTTTAATCGAACAAATTTATAGTAGATCTGAGATTTTAATCGAATAACCGTAATTTCTAATGAATGGAATAGTGTTTCATGCAAAAAAAAATCAATCTCATAACTCATTTGCTCATTTTTATTTCTTTACGGCCCATGCAACCTACACCTTTATAAAAAAAAAAAAAAACTTGATATGTTTAATAAAAGTTGGTAGCTTTAGTAGTGCGTATAATAATTGATACCGAAGGTTAAAATAAAATGATGTCTTAGACCTATTAAATATTTTAAAATGATGTCAACATGTGGTGGTGCTCTACGAAATCATTTGGGAGAGTGGATTGTCGGGTATTCTAAATTCATTGGCTGTTGTTCGGTGCTGGACGCTGAATTATGGGACTTCTACGAAGGATTGAAGGTTGCGTGGGAGATCATTTTAGAGATATTATAATTGAAACGGACAACAGGAAGTCCCTAGCTGTGGTTCGTAGGGAGTCAGACTTTCGTGGTGCTTCGGCTATGTCTACTCACTTGGATTGCCTTCTTGATCGTGATTGGTGCTTGTCTTTCAAATTTGTTCCCCGTGAACGCAATAGACTTGCTGATGGCTTGGGTAGAATTGCATGGAGCTTGCCTTTCGGCCTCAGGGTATTTCAAGTTCCGCCCACTGAAGTTCATCATCTACTGCAGGAGGACTTTCTGCAACAACGAAGTGGTATACTGGAAGCCGAAAGCTAGATGTGTAGTTTAACTTACTGATTACTACCTCTCATTAATCAAAAGGTAATAATTTTTAATTTTATTATTGAATTATAATTAAAATATTTTAATTTTTCTAAAAGCTTTAAATTCTTCTAAAGTTATGAAAAAATATTTATAATTTTATACGAGTTAATTTTTTTAATATATTTATTTAGTTGAGTCTATGAGATCTCACCTTCAAACAATTAGAATGTATTATATTTTCAGAATATCTATATGCGATTTCAATATCAAAAGGTTTGTTTTTAACCCTTAAGAGCTGGCACCATAAACTTTTAAAAATCAAAACATAAAATTCCAATATATGATAAAATCTTTATACTCTCCGGTTGCAATCTTTTTTAAAAATGTTTTTCGAGATAACTATTGGAATTATAAAATAATAAGATTAAAATTTAAAATAAAAATATTTTTAAAATACCAACAGAAAATTCAGTTTAAATCTTTTATTATCATCAATTCCTTATCCAATTAAATTTTAAAATTAAAACGTTATCCTCGACTTCAAATATTTATTTACAACACCTTTTTGTTCTCTAAAACTTCAATCTTAAACTTTCAATTCTTGAGATCAACCTATTTTTCCCTATAGTATCAAACACCTGGAAAATGAAATCTAGGATTGCTGCCATTTGTATTTTAATGGTTTTGATTACAGTGGCAAAGGCTGAGGTATCGCCATCATTATCTCCATCGGAGAGTTGTTCAACTATTATATATGATATGATAGATTGTATCCCGTTTTTGAGCGGAGTCGGCACCGAAGACAAACCAACAGTTGCATGTTGTTGTGGGTTTGAAATAGTTGTGGGAATCAACGCTGAATGCATTTGTGAAGCCCTTAAAAGCAGTGTTGATTTGGGTGTCGATATAAATCTTACGAAGGCTGCTGCTTTGCCTTCAGCTTGTCAAGTTTCGGCACCTCCTATCTCCAAATGCAACTTAAAAGGTCACCTGCTATTATATACAAGTTTTGTTTTTTTGTTATCACTTATTTCAATGTGACCCATATTTTCCCTGCAACGACAGCAGTTAACCCTCCTCCATCGAGTGAATCTCCGATCCCACTTTCAGGGCCAGAAAAAACAACGACACCTGCAGGTGAAGTTGCTAAACATGCACCCTCGCCGTCCTTGTCTGGGACTTGCTCACTGTCATCTTCTTCCTTTATCCTCTTTACCATGCTACTTAGTTCTATTTGTTATATCTCTGTGTAATTTTATTTTTGCTTTATTCTTGGATTTGATGGTTATAATAAGTTATGATTATACTTCCTTGTTTTATTTTTCTCCTGTAATTCCATTTTCATTCTAAAGTTTACTCTATTTGCTTAGACCCTTGAAAATGTTTATTGCCTTCATCCAAAAGCCTACGCTGAATAAGATTAAGAACAAAAAATTGCTAAAACAATTTTTTTTTTATAATTTTTAATAGGTTACTGCCCTGAACAAAATAATTGCTTTAAGCTTTTCATAATTTTTTTCTCACCCTTTTTGCCAAATAGGATTTATTAACGGCATAGAACATGATGACTTGTATTAATCAATTATGAACGATAAATATATGTGATATTGTAATTGCACTGAGCTCCTGTTTTATAGTGGTTTCCATTTCCATTAAAGTAAAACTCTCTCTCTTATGGATAAAGAAAGTGTTCTGAAAAACTAGTGAGAAAGGAGAAAGTGATCCAGCAAGTCAATACGTATTCATTTCTAAGGACCTTGAAACAAAATTTCAATTTCAACTATAATCACGCTTATGCTCATGGTCAAGGACTGTTTATTTGATACGAATAACTAGGGTTTCAAATCGTGTTTGCGGTCACTTTTTTGATTATATCGGATTTACCGTGATTGCGGCTGTCACGGGCGCTATTGCAACCGTCGTGGGTAACTCGGACGGCGGCGAAACCGTTATATCGCGACCGAAATCGCGATCGCGGACCGTTTTTTAAAACTCTGTGAATAACTGCTTAAATTAATATTTTATTTTCAGACAACCTTAAATTAATATTGTGTTGTAGATAATTCTAGGTAGTTTTGGGTTTGTTATTTCTAGTAGCTTTTGGTTAGATACGATTAACATTATCTTTAGTTTCAAACTTAAATGTATTGTGTAGACTTTTAGGAGTCTCAAGTAGGAGTAAACTTTAGGAGATAGTCTATAAAAGGACTTGCTTTGTAAGTTTAAATGGAATGAAATACTGAGAAAACTAGCCTGATTTTCATCGGTTTCTACAAATATATTCAATATATGCTTTTAAATTTTGGGATTTAACTATGTTTTTTACTTTTAATTAAAAATAATTCTACACCAAATAAAAATTGAGACGGGTGTGCCACCCAAGGACCCTTGATCTTTAAAGATTTGTTCATTTGGTTAAAGAAACAAAGAAAAAAACAAAACTCCTCGGAAATTTAACTGTCTAGAAATGCAGTAAGATAGAACAATAACAAAAATTTGTGTATTTTCAAAAAGAACTATTTACCAATACAGAACTTGTCAAAGATGTTGGATAAAATCTCCTCGGAAATGTCTTCTCCACCTATCTGGCCAAGAGCCAATGCAGCCTCTTTTAAATCAATTGTCCAAAAGTCCAGAGGCAGCTCCTCCTTTATCGTCGATATCAATCTTACAAGAGCCTCCTTGGCTCGCATCAGCTGTTCACATTGTCTCTGAGACACCCCATGAAATTAGTATTCCATAGCCAGAAATGGATATGAACTAGGGTCGTCTAAAAGCAAGAAAAAAGAGTTTTAAAAATGCTAACCTGGTTAACAGTCCATCTCCGTCCCCCAGTGGGGATCTTGTTTAGGCCAACGATCTCTAAGATTGATTTCTCCAAATCGTGAATCCCTTGACCTGTGATGGCACATGTAAAGACATGCTTACCGAAAGACTTGGTCTCTCTATCGACCCAATCAGAGCATGCAGATGAAGCACAGTCTATTTTATTGATTACTAGAATCATTGGAATGGATGTTGATCCCTGAAAACACCCGGTTTCAGTATGTTCTCAAAGATAGGTTGATATTAATCGCAATGCCGATAGCTTACCTTATTGGATTGAATCCTCTCAAGAAGTTTAGTATCTTCCATAGTCCATCCATCAATTGCACTCACTGTCATTATGATGACATCAGCACCCATAGCAACGGCTTCAGATCTTTCCACACCTAGAACAATGTTATCGTACAAATCTAAGTAATTACTGACATATTAAGAGAACCATAAAGCATAAAATTAACTACATATTGCGAATAAAACTGTTCAAATAATATACATGAACAGTTGAACTCTGAAGACACTACAACTAAATCTTGAAGCATTTACTATTTGCTACAGTGCAAAACTAAATATAAGTTTCTTCACCCAGCGAAAAACTAAAATCTTGCATGGCATTATTGCCAACATAAACCATAGCATTTCCAGTGAGAAATTTTCCATTATGTGTGCGTTCAAGAGACTGGCAACTTAGTCGAATATATATTTATAGGAATCGATTTTCCTATTAAAAATCACCAGCTAGCAAAATAATCAACTTGGAACTCCTATTTGATGCTTATAAATCAAGGTATTTTTGGAATTAGTCAGGCAAGGAGAAAACTTTTACCGATCTTCTCTACAATATCATCAGTTTCCCTGATGCCTGCAGTATCAAGAAGCGTTACAGGGACACCAGCAACACTAACACTGGCTTCCACCACATCCCTAGTGGTTCCTGCAATCTCTGTAACTATTGCCCTGTCACTCTGCACGCTAAAAGCAAGACACGGGGATGAACTAGATGCTATGTCATTTCTATGTGAAAGAACCAGTGCCCAAATAAAAGGACTTGCCAGTTCATCAGTCAAACAAATTGTTTTGATGATGTAACACAGACATCAAAACTGAGAGATGTTCACTCATATAAATCATGCAAAACAACGTACTTTGCTCCAGATATTAAGGAGGCTTGACTTCCCAACATTCGGACGTCCTACAATTGCTATCTGCAAGATTTTGGAAATGGAGGCGACTGCATCATTGATACATATCTTAAACATAAGATGCACAGCCTGTCTACAAACATGTAAAGACTAAAACTTTATCTATCTTACTACCAAAGAACCATAATGACAGGAAGATATAAATAATCCAACTGAATGATCAAAAAGTTGGGAACTGCTCTGTTACGCTTATAATATGTCTGGGGAGTAAAAATGTGAATTCTAAACAAGAACCCGCTTTCTGCAACCGAAATCACGCTTTCAAAGATCTTGTGTGGTAATAGATTTTACCTGCAACCCTGATTGCAGAAGTTTGTCATAATTGGCGGTCTCCAATGCATGCTCTAAATCCTGAGACATGGCATGGATTCTATTCATAATTAGGTTGATATCGAGTGGTGGCATCTCATCGTCAAAATCTAAACGAGCCTCTATCTCAGTAATCAACTCAATGCACCGTCCTCGCAAAGAACTGACTAAAGTAGAAAAGCCCCCCTGTCAGACAGTCAAGCACATCAAAGTTGTTAATCACACTGCCAACCGATCCTTGATTGGAAGAATTATAAGCAAATTTAAAGGTAATAAAAAAGATGGAGAAAACAACAAGATAGTTAGAAAAACAGAATGCAAAGATGAACATGCCTGAATTCCTGCCAAAGCTGCATCAGCGGCAGCAACAGACTTAGCTGAAATTAGTTTTCCAACATTTTCAGCTTGTGAAAGATCTAAGCGACCATTTAAGAATGCACGGAGGGTAAATTCGCCTAAAAACAGGAGAAGGAAGCAACACAATGGATTAGGGACATTTTTTTAATTAAAAGATACAAAAAAAAAATGCTAGGGCATGGCACTCTGAGCAACTAGACTTGAAGATTTCAATTAATTTAATTGTTATCTAAGAGTTGAAGAGCCACCACAGAAAGTTTTACATAACCTAAACGCAACCTGGTTCAGCAAGCCTAGCTCCAGCTTCTAAACAAAGCATCAACACTCGACGCAGACACACTTCACTCCCATGGCACTGAAGCTCAACCACATCTTCACGAGTATATGATTTTGGAGCCAGCATCGGCACAGCTAAAACCTAAAAAAAATCCAACTTTACAATCCACACCCCATGCTCCAATTCCAATAACGAAAAAACACAAACATCGAACAAAAAAGTTATACCTCATCAACTACTTTTCCCTGAGAATCCAAAACAACGCCATACTCAACAACATGACTTGCGGGCCTCCAAGAATCCGAACCTGAATCGATTCTCTTCTTATTCTTCATCTTTTTGGCCGGGAAAAAGACACGGCCAGCGATATCGACAGCGGTGGGACCAGACAAACGAACAATGCCGACGGCAGCAGGAGGGCCGCCTAAAGAAGTGACAATGGCTGCAATGGTGCTGGTCGAGCTCTGGGCCTGAATTGAATCGTCCTGGTTCACTGAACCCAAACCCACCAAGCGCTCATCGTTGTTGGAAACAAAAGTAGTCTCTGCAATGGAAAAAAGGGGGGGGTGAAATGGGCAATTAAATATGGAAGTGAAAATGAGAGGAAAAAATGAAATTTGAGGGAGGGAATCAGAGAAGACGAATAACCTTGGCGAGTGGAGGAAAGGGGTTTAAGTGGTTGGGTTCTAGGGGGGAGAGAAGAAAGTTTTTTAGGGAACAAAAGAGAGGAAAGGATTAGTTTTGGAGGCGGTTTTGTTGGCCTGTAAAAACGAGTGGCAACAGTACGGAGAGATGGGAGTAGAGCCATTGCTTGTGTCTGATTTTTTGTAATATCAACTGAATGTTGAGGATGCTTCCCTTCTCTTCCTTTTGCACATCTATGGTGTTTGCAATGGTCCATTGCCCATCTTAGGTGGGCTCAACTGGGCTTTGTTTCATGTTCAAATCCTGGACAGCTTCACATAAGCCATTGGCTTCTTTCCATCCAAAGAACCCATGGCCATAGGGTCATTGAATGAACGGCTTCATCTATTTTTTTTAGATTTAATTTATCTAATTTAAATAAAATTTTATAAGTCCTTTTTTTTCAAATCTTGTAAATTCTTTTTTTTTATTTGGTTTATATATTACTTTAAGAAAAAGGGGAAAACATCAATTAGGGAAAGAATTAAACTTACGTTCCAAGTTAAAAATATGAAGAAGCAAAGAGCAATGTCCTCAGGCTGTTGAATGTTGATAACGCTGGTTCACTATCTGGAATTAAATAAACCAGTTTTCAAGCGAGGTGTCTTTTGAAAATTGGAAAACTGGGGACACTATTACCATAACCTTATCCTCTGTGGCCACGTCTTCATAACATCTAAACGTGGGTTGACTGCTTAATGAATCTGGCTGCACCTGATGTCTATGTTCATTCCATTTCCCACAATTATTAACCTGGTTATCCCTGCCACATAGAGAATCGGTTTATATAACTGATTCCCCATGTTAACAAACTCTTGAAACTATCCAGATACAACTTCGGATTCCATTACATTTCTTTTAGCAAATCTATAAACATATTATATTATTATACATTCAGTTTCCTAATTGACACCCTCATTATTAAATTACACCTTGGATCCTTCCCTTCTTCTACATGCACATTTTGCTATCGTGCATTAATTCAAACTTCTTCCTCCACCCATTTCGGAGAACACGATGACACGGCATCTGCAACAGTTAGGAAGATCCTGTGGTCGCCGATTATATCAGTGAATTTCGACGAGTGGAGCTTTTCAATTACCACGGGTGCAGGATTTGCCAGAACCAGCTGTTCAACAAATGCCATGCAGGTATACTAATTAAAACCTAGACTTTGTTATTCTCAAGTAAGGTTAGCTTATATGTATTGAATCATCATTTGTTTATTTACCTGGACATTCTTTTTCTGAAGACTCTTGTGTAGTTCTTCCATGGCATGGATGCCACTGGTATCAATGTCAGTTACAGCTAACCCACAAGAAATTAGAAAGAAAGAAAGAAAAAAGTGAGCTTAAAACTGCAAACTGACTAACAAAGACATAAGGTACAATAAAGCTTGAGAAGAAATACTTAATGGATTCTTACGCGACGTCTCAATTATCAAAAACTGGATTGCTGGTTGGCAAGCAGCTTTTACTTGCTCTTCTTCATCCATTAACCATCTCAATATCCTGCAACGTACAATGTTTTACTAGGAGCATCTCAAAATCTAATTGAAACTTGACTAGGAAGAATGAAACCTATCCATGAGAGAAATTGGGTAAGAAGAATATATGTATACCTCTCCCTGACATAGCCAGCGTTGGAAAAGTAAATAGCAGAATCAACACTAACGATCAAAACACCAGGAACTCTGGTTGCTTCAGGATATTGTTGGATATTTCGATACACAGTACTACTGGGGATCTTACCAAGAAGAGCGGTTCGAGGCCTAGTAGCTTGTAAGAGGATTTTAGCAAAGGATATTATGACCTGCCATGGCGATAGCAGATTTATATCAAACATATAAAACAGAGTATTTATAATTGATTTCAAGCATGTTTAGGTACTGGACTGGACATCTAACTTCTTACAGCAATTAGGAGGCCGATCTCAACCGACTGAAAGACGACTCCAAGAAAGGCTCCCAGGCATGCAACGAAATCAAATTTATCAATCTTCCATATCAAAATTGCTGCCGGAACATCAAAAAGCCCAATCACGGCATTTATAATGATAGCAGCGAGGATGGTATTTGGGGTGTACTTGAAAAGAGGTGTTATGAATTCCAGGGTTAAAAACACAACACAGGACATAACGACATTAGAGACCGCTGTCTCGCACCCTGCCATGAAATTTACTGCAGATCGAGAAAATGAACCTGCAGCAAGTAACAAAGGTATAATAACATCAGTTACAGATATACATATATGATCATGTGACTCAACATGTGTTGTCTCCGTTCTCACCCGTGGCAACATAGCAGGAAGTCATTGAACCAACGATATTCATAGCTCCCATTGCCATCATTTCTTTGTTTCCATCTATTTGATACTCTTTCATTGAAGCAAAAGTTCTTCCAATGGCGGCAGCTTCCTATTAAATCGACCCAAGAAAAAGAAAATGGACGTCAAAGGGGGCTATTAATTTAGATGCAATGTCATAATTGGTTTTGTTTCTAGGTTTATTGGAGATGGATAAAAAAAAATGGCTTACCGTCAATGCTATCATACCAGCAACGACACCGATCTTTATACCTTTTTTAAGATATTCACCACTGAAGTAAATTTGATTCGCAGATGTGGGATTGATTCCTTGCTTAATGTGCTTCACCTGCAAAGATGAAAGAACAGTGGGTTTTCAGTAGCCATTACAATTTTTGCCATCCTTTGAACTAAGATTACAATATTGTACAATTAAAGGGAGGAAATGCTTACAATGGCAACTCCTTGCTTATCTGCACGCGTTATAAAAACGAAGAAGGTGGTGAGAATAACAGATATCAGAGGAGCTATAGCAGGCACCCAGAAGAATTTCCTGTTCTTTTTTCCCTATTTCACAAATCAAAGCACGTGAAAGTTGGCAAATGGTTACAAGCCTAGAAATAAGAGCGTTGGATATACTTAGGATCTCTTACAATGTATTTCGCGAACAAGAGGAAGGATAAAAAGCAAACACCAATGACTATTGTCTGCCAGTTCCACTGAAAAATGTGTAGTACCGTATAAATGTAGTAACCGTGGAATGTTTTTTTGTTGGAAAAGAAGTTATACAGAGAGAGAAGTGCTTACTTGATCAATGTTGCCCCATACAGATTGCATTACAGAAACAATATCTGGGTTCTTTGTGAAATCTTTTATACCCAGAAGTCCCTTAAGCTGTTGAAGGGCAATTGTGACGGCAGCTCCAGCCATAAAACCCACGATGGCAGCATGGGACAGGAAATCAATCAAGAAGCCCAACCTAATCAATTTAGTAACGTAACACAAAGTTATCAGAAATGTGTATAGTATATATTATGGGCGGATGTAGAAGCTATCCATGAGTGAAATACATACAAGTAGTACCTAAGAACACCGAGAGTTGCTTGAGTGACGCCTGCAAAAAAGGTAGCAGTAAATGCAAGCCGCAGATACTCGGCTTTGTTTTCTTTAGGGTCCATCTCATCTGAAAGCATGGTCCCTAATAAAAGAGATACCACTGCGACTGGTCCAATGGCGATATCTCTTGAACTTCCCATGAAAGCATAAATCAATGGAGGAACAAAACTGGAGTCTGTTATGGACCAATAAGAATATTACTCATAAAAAAATACTTCAAGAAAAAGCTATATTAGCAATGTAAGATAAATATAAGTAACATAGAAAGAAACTTACATAATCCATACTGCGGATCCAAGTTTGCTAGCTTTGCATAACCAATGTCCTGTTTTTCAAAGTAATTTAATCGAATAGTTAAATAAGGAAAATAAATGTTTGTGTATATGTTAATGGAGTATATCGTATCTAGAACCTGAGGAATGCAGAGACTGGCAATAGTGAGTCCTGCTATGATATCACCACGAAATTTTCTCCAGGTGTAACTCCTTCCCCATTCAAGAATGGGGAAGATTGCCTGGATTCCGAGGATGAACTTTCGAGAACTGGGTTGGTCCTTGAAGGCACGCAGAGGGTCATCAGCAAATAATGTTTCTTTCATGGTGGATTTGAATTCCTGGAACAGGTTTTGCTTAGGCGGAACCGCCACCTTGTGAAGATTGGATTCACTGTGAACGTGAAACTGAGATGACGACAGATTTCTAATGTCCATCTCCTTGGTTTCGGCTTTCTCATTATTTGAATCAGGATTCCAAGCCATATCACATATCTGCAGCACAGGAAAAGCCAGTTATGATTAACAAATGGTATAGAGTTTACGTGGTTCTACATATGTTTACAGTCTACGAGTGGAGGATACAAAAACAAGATTCGAATCAATATCCATTGAAACCCTAAAAGCTTATCTCAGTACTAACATACTTTTAAACTAACAGGAAGACTAAGGACACGAACAAACTTACTCTTTTACCATGTAGGAGTAGGACACCAGGACTTTAATACTGTGAATTACTATATCAAAAAGATTAGTGCACTAATCAAATGGTAATAATACTTATTAGTTATTGCATGCCAATGTTTCTCTAAAACATATACAGTAACATGGGAACGTCGCATCAGTCTCAAAAGCTGATGAAAATCTATTGAGCTAATAGTGAGAAAGAAATAATTAGAAGCTAACCAAAGATGGTGGATATGGAGGGTAGTTGGGAAATGGGATTTAGAGAACACAACGAGTTATTTTTAACTTGGAAAATAAGCTAGGGAAGATATCGCTTATATCAATACAGAAAGTGAAACACTACAAGATATAATACAGAATCGATAAGCACTAACAATTTATGAATCTGGATCTCTTACATTTCACATACATCAATACAGCTATTGATGTAAGCAGCTGATCGTTTTTCTTCCATAATTGTGTAAAATATGCTCTTAAGGGAAATGTTGACTATTCTTCTGCAAAGGTGGCAAAAACTTTAGCCATACATTCCGCACGATGACCCTTGGCAAGATCAAAAACGAAAATTTGACTAGATTAAAGAATGCAGTTCATGATTAATCATTTCAACGGGCAACTGATGCAATGCTGATGCATGGAAGTAGCAGGCAATTCCAATAAATTTACTTAAGAACTCGATTTCAGAAGATGCATCATATTCGGTAAAAATTAACATTCCATCATTTTTATTCCATAAAAAAATAAAGATTTGATATATCATATATGGTTCAAAAGAGAATATGTATGTTTTCTATATTGTATGTCGTTTTAAGGAGGGAGAATAATGGGTAAGCTAGCAAGTCCTCATTTCATGTACTTCACATTGAAGCCATTCATAGTGGAAGTCACTATCCTTCCCCAGCGACCTTCTTATACAAGCTTTACTTCCAAAATATCCGCGCAGTCCCTTTCCACAAAGGGAGGTTAAAGGAACAATAAATAACAAAAAGGAAAGAAAAAAAAAGTGCTGAACAATCAATTCAAAGGCTCACCTTTTGGATCCCAACTTTCTATGGTTCACAGCAATTTTTCCCCCCACCAAATATAAGATATTCGGTGAACAAATCGCCACTCAGAGTCAATCACCTAAACAGGAGAGTTCTTCACGACTCAAACCCCATAACTAGGGAACCAAGCTCCTTCCACTTAACCAATAAGATTAACATCCATTGATTCTATGTGGTATTTTTAATATTTTCATAATTAATGAGCATATAAATCCATTTCTGTAAGAAGAAAGATGGTCACCTTGACAGAACCAAAATCTCATCCAGGTTCGAGGAATCCAATATTACCTTTCCATCTTCTTGCAAACTTTTTGTTTCTTTCTAATATAATTATGTATATTTAAATTATTAAACGATTAAATATTATAAAAATGTCACATCCCGATTTAGGGACAAAATTTTATAATATAAAGTTTCGAATTATAGTTGTATCAAGGGAGAAATTGATGACTAAATTGTAAAATTTCAATGTTGACAGACCTTTTAGGAAGTTTTAGAAAATTCAGGGACTTAAACCTAAATTTTACCATTTTTATACAAGCGAAAAATAAATTCCCCCCTCCCCCATCAGTTAACCCAATTTTCGTCGACCCTTTTTATCGACCAAATTCGTTGCCGTGCGGCCACCTCAGCTCGAGCCACTGCCACCAATAGATTCATCGTCGAACGATGATCAAAACCCGACCACCCTCATGCCGTGAAATGCTGCCGTCAGCCATGAATCGATGATCAAAGCATCAACGAAAACTCAAGTCGGCCGCCGTGAATTCTCTAATTTCGGTCGATTCTGCTGGCAGTGCGCTACTATTGGCTTCTCCATCATTGTGCGACCAAAACCCGGTAAGGACCATTGCTCTTCTGCTATTGCCACCGCCGTTCGCCGTTAAGGCTAAACCGGTTTTCAATTGTTTTACTCTGTTATGGCTGATAATTAAGGTTGATTTGAATCAATTAAGGTTAGTGTTGAAACAGGGTCGACCGACCATCCCAACCTCCGTCGCCACCCCAAGCGCTGCCACACGCCGGCAATACGTGTGGGCTTCTTTCCATGCCCTGGAAGCTTCTAGACCGGTCCAACCGATCTGGACCGACCCAAACTAGTCAACCCGGTTTGAACATAACTGACCTGCCTCCCCGACCCGAACCCCTTTGACCCAACCCATTGACTTGACCTGATCCGTTGACTTTGATCAGAGTTGACTGTGTTGACTTGTGACTTTGACCGAAAAAGTTAAAATTTTCAAAAAGCCTATTTTATGTTTTTCAACGTCCTAAGTCCGAATCCAAAGTCCGTTTTGTCAAATTTGCACCCGGTAAGCCGTTTTTCAGAGATTTACCTTCGGATTCAATATGGTTTCTAAATTAAATTCAGTTTCTGACGTAAATTCGATTACTTTGTATTCGAGGAATTGTTGGATGTTGAATTCAAGTTCGAGAGTGATCGAATGGGGTTTAAATGGTCAATTGATATGGCACAGAAATCAAAGTAATACTCTACTACCCTTTATATGTTTTTCGGAACCCATTGATATTTGGTACATGCATGAATGAATATAATTGGTCCATGAGATATAGTTAATTATGTTAGTGGTGGTGGTCATGATCGGAAAGTACGGCGGCAGATTAAGATTAGGATTTGGGGTTAAAATTAGTGTTTTTTTAATATAAATATAATAATATTTTAAAAAATAAATTTCAAAATACCAGATTGTGAAACGTGTCACTTAAGGGAGAAATTAACGTTGTTGACGGTCCAAGAACCTAAATGGGTAATGTTTGTAACGTTAGACACCTGGATTAGTCAAAAAATAGTTTAAGCACCTATTTGGGAAAAGCGGTATAGTTTGGGCACTTATTTTGGTATTAGGCCAAAATCAAAACCCCTACCCCTGCGTCGTCCTTCTCCCTCCTATTCCCTACCACCGATGACAAAGGGTCACCACTGGTAAGGTTTTGTTCGGAGTAGGACGAGGAACTCAACGTTGACAGTCGTGTAACGTACGAACGACTTGTAGCAGTCAAAAAGGCCAGAAAACAAAAAGAAAAAACCTAAAAATCTAACAACCCTTTCGTTGTGTTTTTCATGACGACCGATGCAATTTCATGGTGGGTGGGGAATTGAGTTTTAGTTACGGTGGTGAGACGGTTCCGATGATACCAACAGTGACGGTGACAACCACATGCCAACAGTGACCGCTCGACGGCGGAAGATGTAAAATTTGTAGATTTTTTGGTTTGTTTTAAATTATAATATTAAGTTTTTAAACAAATAATTGTTGAAATTTTATATGCGTGACATGTTAGACAATTATTATTAACAAAAGAAGTTATTTAAGTATCAAATTGTATTTAGAGATATATTTTTAGCACTAAAAATTGTATCAAGACAAACAAAAATTATGCTCTAATAAGGTGACAGTGCTAGCGGTGAGAGTTGTAGTCAGTTAGAGTTTAGATTTTGTAACTCCTTAAATTTGTAACGTAAACTGAAATTATATTTTATTTTAATAAAAGAGTTTGGAAAGAGCCTTTGCTTTATGGGAAAATGGAAATATTACTCTTTCAGTATTTCAATTCAAAAACACATCTTATGTTAAAGACCGAAACTGTGAAAGAAAACATCTCCTGCTTCTGCAACACCCATCAAGCACCAGCCGAGGCCTTCCATCTGAAATAATACAAAATCAATTAATTATTAGCTGACTGCCTTTTACCAAATTCCTCTTAATTTTTTTTTGGATAATATAGAACTATAAAATCAAGTCTAAGCTGCCATGTCCTTCCTTTTTATAAATTTTAATTTTATATATCAAAATTTTGTTATTATTCCTTCAAATTAAAAATAGGAAATATATTTATTTATGAAAACATCGAATAATCAAAGTTTCCTTTCATCAAACAATTAATAAAAAAAAGAAATTAATAATAAGAATATAATACCGTTGTCTCTTCACCATTGCCTGTATTCTTCGCTGCATTATCTGAAGGGTCTCCGCAAATCCTGAATTTATATTTGATTTATCATAAGCACCCAATTAAGCTGTTCATACCACTAGTTGTGCAAAGCTACAATCTATAAACAAATTTTATCTCTAAGGTTATGTATTAAACTGGCAAATCAATCTCTAAAGTTTATTAGTGTGCCCGTACTCTTTTAGTTTGGGCCACTATTCAGTGGGGGATGTTAGCATCAATTTAGTTGGTGTATTTTGTAGTGCCCATATTGTTCTTCGAGGAAGTGTGGAAAGATTTTCAGCAAGTGTTTCTCTTTCCTAGTGATGTGCCTTCGATCAAGTTCAGGGTGTTGTTGCTGGTCTGTTCCAGTGCTTGGTTCATTCCTCTGGTTTTGTTGTATACGTATTTCGTACTGTGACCTATTTTCTTATTGTTGGTTATCTGTGTTAGCTTTTTTATGTGTTGGTTTGGTGATTGTGGTAAGGTGTGGGTATGTTCTGAATGATGTTACTATTATGTGTATTTGTTCTTTACCACCCAAGGTACACTCTTTTTCCTCCATATATGATTATGGAGGTTTTTTAATGAGGGCATTGAGGTGGTGTACTTTGTTACTTTCTTTAATACAAAGTACCCTATTTCAAAAAAAAAAAAAAGATTTGAATCTAGTTACACGATCTTCCTTATTAAACCGAATGTTCGAATTAAAAAGTAAATTATTAAATTTTTCAGAGTTGGATTGGATAATTTTAGTACAATTATCGTAGTACTTAAAAGAGAAATGATGAAAAAATAGTTGTGGGGTTTTTTTCCCACCTCTTCGGTATCATCTTCATCGTAAACTCCTTCCTCTTCGTCACTTGGATCGTTACATGCAAACAGAATTCCAAGAAGCTTAGTTTATCTATCATACGAAGAAAATGAAGGGGAGAAGAATTAATCCGATTATTGTTACATATGAAAAATAAAAGAGAGATTTTACCAGCTCAAGCTTGATTCATCGAAAAAAGTGTAGGATCTATAGACAAGAATGAGAAAACACATAATTAAAAGCTGAGTTGAATTTGAGATGATTTTTAACTCATAAAACTCTAACCTATTTGGGGGTGGTAGCCTCGGAAGTGTGGGACGTTGAGAAATGTTGGAGATGGCTGGAGGTTTGGCAGCTCCCTCGTTGCAGATCAATGTTTCTTTTCCTTCTCCTTTCATCGTTTTTGCTTTGCTTTACCAAGAGATTCCTCATATATGTACATATATAGCTTCACTACTTAGGTCAGGTGGGGACAATTTGATTATGTAACTGGAGAGGTGTCACAAATTTT